GTATATCATGCAAAAAAGTGGAGAGGGTTCGTGATTATCCCCCTAGTTGCTCGATTCATAGGCATACTCCCGCAATAATTAGATGAGCGGATTTGAAACCGCTAAAACACATTGACGCGCTCCTCTTGTTACCGTGTTAGGAGGGCGCTGTGGTTGTGAGTCCCCGCCCATTCGCTTGTCGCGGAAGATGTCTTCATGTGATACTTTGTGAATGCCGCTTTTACAAAAAGGACGCTATCATACAGAACCCCCAGCTTCTAACTACCTCGAAGAACGGTAGTTTTAATAGGTCTAACGTTATTGAAACCATATTCGATTTGCTAGAGCGAGGCTGTAAAACCGGAACATACTGGTAGTGAAACACAGCCGGAAAGCCCGACCAGTAGCTGGGAAGGGGCCATCGGATCAACAAAGAATGGACAAGTTTCTCCACCAGATGGCTTTACACGACAACTAATCATAATGAAGAAAAAACTAATATCACCAACCTTCATTTTCTCTTTGAGTTCAACGCTATTCTTGTTAGGATACGGTAGTCCGATCATAAACACGGCACGTCCCAACTCGTCGCTGAAATTGATCCCTAAAAAAGAACATTAATGACTACGATGTAAGAAGTTCACGGACATGCCCATCAACTTTTACAGCTCTAATGGAATGTCCAGCTGCTGCAACAGATGGAATGCATGCTGCTTTTTCTATTGCTTTATCCATCAGATTATTTGCAGACGCCAGACTCCACTGAATTTCATGGGAACATTATCTAACGAATGCCCAGCTGCATGTGACCATGTAAATAAAAACAGGAAATATCCCATAGCAACACTCTTTTCACTCGCTTTACGAAATACGAAGCTCTTCCGGAAAAAGAGCAAGCCACCGTAATTTTAGTCACGAAAACGGAGCGCACGCACATTCCATGCCGCTCGCATGGGTGGGGCCGCTTGAGAAAGTACACCTTTCTACAACGTTTGGTAGTTTTCAGATCTTCAAAACCACACCAACATGAGTTAGGCATGCGGTGGAAAAGAGGAGGAAAATATAGTTTTTTGCTTGTCTAAGATGATTTTTTTTATTTGCTTATGGTCAGATCTTATTTTGCCATCTGGGACTACCCTGAAGTGCTTTAATGGTCCATCCGTTTCTCCGCCCATGCGATCATCGCGGAACCTGTTCTATTATTTAATGCGGTAGAATTTTCAAAGCCTGTCTTTGTTACCATTCCCGCACTAGCGCCTAGGCTCACATTCAGACTAAAAAAGATTGCACAGCGCCAGGTCACAGGTCCAGTTTACGGTATCAGTAGCTCCAGTGATACCGTAACCTGGACCGTGGATATCTAGGGCACATCAGCTCAGTCCTTTGGAGTTTACTAAACTGATGTTACCACTTCGAATAATTTTTCGTTTTTGTCCGTGATTGATAAGTGAAGCGCACTTCGCGATAGCGGGATGGACGGAGAGGGTGAACTGTTATGTCTTCTTCTCGTGCACCCATCCACCCATCCTTCTGAAGCAGTGAAGAGG